ATCAGGAAGTAAAGAAAAGAGTATTACCTAGCAATTAAATCCAACTCCCTGACTAAAAGGTTAGCCAAGTGACAGCTGTCACTGAAACCATCCTGTGCGGATACTTCATCTAATACTGGTTTTCTTAAGACTTTATGCTATTTAAAAAACAATCAACAAAGATCTACAGGTATGGCCAAAGGCTTGGGAATGTCACTTCTTACACTAATTTGCCATACCCGAGGTTAGGTGCATATGGTAACCTTTGTAGCATACGTGTTAATACACAGAAAACATAGGTACCAGTTAATATTTGGCCTCAGTTGTGTCTGCATACATGCTTATGAATATATTCAATATTTTTTATATTGAAACGTGGCAGCTTTTGGTTATGTGTAGATGGAGCAATGAAGTTCTCTACAGGTTGGACACTTGCTAGTATAGATTAATTTTATGGCTTAATATCACTGGCTATACTATGTTTATGATATTACAGCTGTTCTGTAACTGCTTCATCTTTTCATAAATAAAATATTCATTTCCTGCATTTAAAGTAACTGGTGACAAAGATACCAGAATCTAATTTGTCTAGAAATGCTTGCTAAAACAAGTGATATAATGAGTGTGTTGTGGGCTTTATTCCTCTTGTCTGCTTTATCTTTAACCACCTTAAAAATTATGAGCAACGACCAGAGAATAAAACACTAAGCAAAAGTCTGGCATTTTTCAGCCTTAAAAATGAGATCAAAGACGGTGTTTGGAAGGAAAATAAATGAATCTTCTCTGCCCTTTGAAATGTTCAGTTCATCTTTTATTACTTGGTAGTAAGGAGGAACAGAAATCTTGAATTAATTGGTTAATTAGAAAGATTTAGATGAAGTATTTTGTCAATATGTAGATAACTTTTGGAGAGGAAGAGATTTTTTTCCATCCTCCTTTGAAGCGGGACAGTTGAGATAGCCCTTCTGTAAATCTGCAGGTAATCAACTGCAAGAGAATTAAACCCACCAATTCAGCAATGCTGAGCATTCCTCCTAACCATTACTTTTCAGGTTAGACATTTATTGGAGTAATTCTGAGCTCCAGACTTCTGTTTAGTCTTACCCTCTCTGCTACCATTACAATTGTATGTTCTTACAGCAGAAGATCCTCTTCTCTTCGTGGTGCATCACAAGAGGTCTTTTACCCTCCTATGCCTGTTTGCACTGTTGCTGAACAGAGACTGAAGGTTTCTCTCCCCATTTTCTCTCTGATTTTTCCATTTTTGTTCTTATTCACAGTGGATTTTATTCATACTTCATTCGTGCCAACACCGTTTGACTCTGTTGTCTAAAGGAGAAGTTTGAGAGAGGAATAAAATTAAGAATCCGTTGCATTAACAAGCATGAAAAAATAAGATAATTTGCAAAGCAAACAGAGAAGATCAAGCAGGGTCTCAGCTCTTGTAATTCCATCAGCATCAGTGGGAATTGGGAGTATCCAGCTCTGGCTGAGTTTCAGAAAAGGCACTGGAAGTGACTCTGCTCACTTAATAATCTCTGAATTGGGCTGTATCGATTTAACAATAGTTGATGCGTAGCTGCTTTACAGAACAGACAGCCTGGGGAAAGAGATAATTAATATTTTTGGATGAAGCCTATTTGGTGCCATTCAAGAAGTGTCAGTGTATCTGCCTACCAAGAACTGTCTGGACATCAAGCGTTCTTTGCCTGCAAGTAATTCCATTGAAATACCAGTTAAAAAATGAGAATATACATGTTTTTGAGAGGAAGACATCACAGAAAATAAAGCAGGTTTTCAAAACTACAGCGCTCTAGAAGTAAGGATGCTTTTAGCTCCCTTGTGTCTTGGCTTCAGCCGCGCTGTGTTTGGAGCTGTAGAGCTGTTTCTGCACATAAAGACCTGTGAACTGCAGATTCAGGTTGAGGGTGGGAAGGCTGCTAGCCAGGATAAGTGAGAAGCAGTGATCAATAATGTAGGAAATAAAAAAGGAAACACTGTAAAACATCACCTGGTAGTGCATAGTTGTAATAGAGAAGAGTGGTTTTTAATAGAAACCTTGAATAAAGTGTGAGTGTGCCAGAAGAGGACTGTGCCTTTTAGCAGTATCCCTCTGCATACAGTACAGATCCAGAGCATACACTTAGAAGTTCGCTTGTAAGCCTCATGGTATCCAAAGAGCGTGGAAATATAACACAAAATAGGAATTCCCTGAATGCTAAAATCAGTCCAACATTCAGATGTGTGTAAATATCACAGTGTAAGCAGTGACTAAGATAATGTACTCCAAGAAATGTTCTTCCAAACTTACTGGATGCCTGAAGTTTCCCCTGTTTGGCTGTTTCCTAGCAAAATACCCCAAATCTGGAATTCAGCAGCTGAACTCTATCTTAAAAGTATTTGTCCCCCCAAGTAGTGGCATTGGCTTCCTTGAGGGTTTTGGTAGAAGGGCAGGACATGGCAGAGCAAGGCAACTTCTGGATCCAAGCAATAATCACCGACTATAAAGACATTTACTTGGAATTGTATCTACCACATGCAAAACTGTCAGAGAGAAAATGTAGCCTTGAGATAGAGCGTTTTCAGTGTTGTCTTAGATTCACGGTCAGCAGGAGACGTCTTCATTTGTATTTTTCATTCAGAAAGTGTTTGTTTATGAGATGGCAAAATAATGTGAGGATGGAGTTGCCAGGAGGAGAAAAGATGGGTAATGCATCTCTTCTGTCTTGGCTTGATTCGGGGACATCTGGGACTTCATAGACAGATCAGCCTTCCAAACACAATCTGCAATGTCTTTGCAGCACCCTCTTACCATGTTCCTTGATAACGGCATCTGTGTGAATCACAGTCTGCTTGTTTTTTTGGTAATGAAGATGAAAAGTAATTTAGAAAATATGAAAATATCGCTGTAGATTTCAGATGCTGCCCAATAGCTCTGCTTCTATGCACATATATTTCCATTTCTGCATAATCTCAAGCCTGTGACTAATCATATTGAACTCCATGGGGTGTTTATGGGATTAAGGCCTCTTTACATCTGAGAATCCAAGTGATTCTGAGAATAATTTGATCATTTTTTTTCTTCTTATGCTCTATGCAAAATTTGTACATGCTCCTGAGTCATTAAGTGTAGGACAAAAATGAAGCAGCAGAGGTAATCCACAATTTATGAGCCTTTGGAACGCTTGAGGGAGTCCCCCTTTATTTACTGCAAAGCCAGCTGTCGTTTGGCTGTGAGATTTCGAGCTGTGGAAACCATGGAGGAAAGGAAAAGTCTTCATTCCTAGTCTATTAAAATAAGAAAGACCCTTTAGATGGAAATTCCTCGCTGAGTTTCTCGATCCCCGATGTCCTGAGAGAGTTATTTTCAAATTAATTGTGATATGCAAACATCTTGCTTGTACATGGTAGTGATTTATGGTAATTGGAATACTGATGGGGAAAAAATTCTTTCAGACTGTTTAACGAGCACCTGTGAAATTACGGAGTGCACGCATGAGCATCCCCAGTCTTTGCCCGAGAGACTTCTCTTTCCACAGCTGTGAGATTTGGGCACTGCTCTTTAGCTATAAATTGAGAGCCCGTTCGAAAGGCAAAGCAGGTACTTGGTACAAGTTCATGGGACAACCGATGTAAATAATTGCTCAAAAGTGTAAATAAGGAGCTTACAACCTGGCTGTATGTTATTATTTATCGCTACTTATTACAATTTATTGGTCTTGTTTCAAACAGTGAAGTTTTAAAGTAAAATGAATTTCTCCTTAGAATAAGGAAGAAATACAGCACCATATGTTGTGCCAATGGAGCTCTGTCTGATGTAGTGCTAATGCATTTCTTCCAAGGCCTCAAGACATTTTACAACATTTTTAGCACCAATTTCTGCAGTAATGACTAACTTCTGCAGGACAGAAAATTACATTCCTTGGGAGGATATGAAATGATCAGGAAAGGAAAGAGCCGACATTATCCGAGAAGCTATTGAGTTAGCAGGATTTTAATGCCGGAGCAATTAATACGCTATGAGAAATGAATGAAGTGGAGCAATAAGTGATAAGCAGAAAACATTTGTGTGGTCTCTTTGTAATATTGAGAAAGTAAACACTACGTGTCAGCAGATCTAGTATGCTGGTTTCTGTCAAAACATCGATTTTCTCCTCTGGTTTTGGCTGATGTCATTGGAAATATTGATAACAGATTCTGGTTTCGGTGGGAGGATTTACGAACCTGGAGTATAAAAGACTAATACAAAGCTCACCGAAATGCCTGAAGTAAAGCTCCCTGTAATCAATCCGTTTCCTGACCTTGGCAGTCTTTTAATCAATGTTTTAATATGAGGAACCACTGTATACAGAGAGGGATGGTGGAATAGAGAGGGTTTGTTGTTGGTTGGTTTTGTTGGGTTTTCTTTCCTTTTAGCAACTGAGATTTTTAAAAAAGACTCTGAAAGTATTTGTATCATTACTTTTGTGTAGGTTTTATTCCTTATACTTCAATTATCCCGTGCCTATTTTACAAATGGGTAAACTAGAACAAGAAGCAATTGAACCCACAATCAAACAGAAACCTCTCCAGTTTTATTTACTTACTCATTTTTTTCATGTTCTATATTTTTAATAGCATTGATTAGCTCCACATACTTGTGTTTTCTCCAGAGCAAGGACCAAGGTCTAGCACACTAAATGCAAAAAGAGTCTTTTCAGCACGTTGAGCTGAAGCTCAGTCAGAGAAGATCCTGATCATACTTCACTTCTGCTGATTTCCAGTGGTGGTGGTGATGCTTTGTAGACTCAGGCCTTAAAACAGTACAGATTGTGTTGCTTGTAAGTGTGACTGTGCCTTCACAATGGAAAATAAAAACAACCTTGTAAATAGCTCCATGGTTGCTTGAACAAAGTTAGCCTAATGGTGAATGTTGGAGCAAAAATTATTAAGGAAAAATATTTTGATCAAGCTTATGTATAGTGAAATGCCAATAACATTAATAGCATCTTTTTTTCTTTCTGTTTGTTCCAATAATGAAGGAGTCATCTACATGCTGCAGGTCATATCTGCGTTCTTCAAGATGCTTTCCTGTATGAAAGTCCAACTGAAATAGCAAAACTAACCTCTGCAGACAAGTTTGATGCAGCCCTGGCCATTCATCTTTATAAAGGAGGCAGACTTCTGCAAGGTAATCCTCTGTATGTTTGGCAATAAAAATACCTCTTAAAAAGGTACTGGAAGAGAAGGTAATGAATACGAACAGTTCTAAATGGCTGTAAATGTGTACACGCACATGTAGTGATGTAAGGTAGTTATTCTGTTTATCCTCTTCAGTAAATGCTCAGAAATGCTGAAAAATCTTCCTCTGTGGGAGATCTGGTCCAGAGAGGAGAAAACTGAATAAGCATACTTTTAAAGCACATAGTGCATTTCATAATTAAGTTCTTTAACTACATTAAGATAAGAGCATTATATTAACATGAAGCTACTTTCAGCAGATGTGCTGTTTCAGAGGACATTGGCTTGGCAAAGTGGAGCTGAGGTCAAATAGAAGAAAGCAAAGAGGCTAATTTGATTTTTCTGCTCAAAATGAGTCAGGGTTTTTTGGGCATGAAATAACTTTGAAATGTCATTCATGCCAGCTAAACTGTAGGAGACAGGATGTTATCGGACAAATAATAAATTTTTCTATTGTATCTAGCCATGTAGAACAAAATTTTCACCTGCCATTAATGATAGACTAGAAGCACCGGCTTTCAAAATCACAGACAGTCACCTACTGAAATTGCAAGTGCGTATCTATTTTTCAGACCACATTTGTGTTGTACAAATCTATTCCCTCGGACAAAGGTATATAATTTGACACTTTTGTCAGGCCTGGGTATTAGTTGTGTTGTGTTCGTTTTCAGACTTGAGAAGTTCCCCCCGCAATTTGTACTGGTGGGTTTTCAGAGAACCTGAATTACTGTGTCTGGCATGGCTCTGTATCTTTTGTTCCAACGGATTTCAGTGGGGATGCTACTGTAATTCTGTAAAATGATCTGTGCTAACATGTGGATTAAGACTTCTCTTGTTGAAATATAGAGATGATCGTTTTTGTGACAAGACCTAGAATTGTTTTGGAGGAGGCTTATGGAAGGTCTCATAACTATCTCCTTTTTATTTTTTTGCTAAGGAACAAGAAAACAAGGTTGGATTTTAAATGTTTACTGTAAAATTTTATTGCAGTTTTGACTTGCACAGCATTGCCCAAATGCTGTGCTATTGGCCTTTCAAAATCCCAGGTGACTACAAAGCCTCATACTTGAATGATTTACAAAAGCTCAGTAATTTAAGTAAATCAGTCACACGGTTTCAAAGAGCATCTGCAAGAGCTGAAAGAAAAATAAAGCAGAAATCTGTGAAAAGCAAGATAGTAATCAGTGTGATTGCTGTTGTGATCCCAGTGAAAGTCTGAAAGTTATCGTCGCCTTTTTGAAGTAAAAAAAGTCATTCAGAGGACATTCCCAATTCTTGTAACATTTACTCTTTCCATACTCTGTATTATGAAATACCTTAAAGAAATTTAGTGACTACTACTATACTGCCAGCCTTTTGGGCCTCATCACAGAATCACAGAATGGCTCGGTTGGAAAAGCCCTCTGAGATCATCACGTCCAACCGCTCCTGTCTACCCCCTAAACCATATCCTTAAGTACCTCATCTACCCGCTCTTTAAACACATCCAGGGATGGTGACTCCACCACCTCCCTGGGCAGCCTGTGCCAGCTTCTGACGACCCTCTCAGTAAAGAACTTCCTCCTTATCTCTAACCTGAACCTCCCTTGGCACAGCTTGGTGCCGTTTCCCCTTGTTCTATCCCCCATCACCTGGGAGAAGAGACCAGCACCCACCTCTCCACAACCTCCCTTGAGGCAGTTGGAGGTTGTGATGAGGTCTCCCCTCAGCCTTCTCTTCTCCAGTGGCTGAGGCTTGATACCTGGGACTAAACTGTGCAATACTGCATCTTGTTACGACCTGAATAACATTTCAAATATATGTGCTGTTTGGTGGGCTGCCAAGCGTAGAAACTAATGGATTGGTTGGTTTTACTGACCGTGGAAAAGGCAAAGCAAATCTCATAGCTACGCAACAGAGTGACATGCTGTGGAAGTGCATCGTTATTGTATGGAGATTTTTTCAGTGCGAAAACCATAAAAATTCAAGTTTTTCCAGGTTTCTTTTTCAAAGGCTTTTGCTTACATGTGCAATATAGTACTGTCAATATACTTTGTCACTTTTAATGTCTCCTTCTAGTTATCACATTGATATTTTGGTCAACTTCTCATGGTGGTCGTTGCTTTGCAGGTAGCAGAATTCCTTTTGGAATCATCTTTGGTGGGACAGATGTAAATGAAGATATCAAATGTGAAGAGAAACGTCGGGTAATGGGAGCAGTGCTAGAAGAAGCCAGGTAAAAGCATCTGTGGAAGGTTTATGACAGGAAATTGCATTTTTGTAGTGGCAGATCTTTTAGGAACTGTACCTTAAATGCTTGGAATCACTGAGAGATGTGGAGGTCAGTGGACAAAGGACAGGCTGCTTGAAATCCCTATGATCTCTACGTACTGATTTATGATTCAGCGCTGGAAGTAGAACAGTTTCTTCATGAAATATCGTCTACTCACTTGAATTTCATCTGTTACAATCGTTTCATTGTATTTGACCATGTAAGAATTGGCAGAGGTAATGCTGAAACTTGGTCTCTTGGGCTGTGACTTGTCAAAAAATACTCCAATCCCATTAAAAGCTGAAGAAATCTGTGCTCTTGCTAAATAATCTTGTGCTTTGTCTACTAAATCACAACTGTTTTCTAGAGTAATAAAACTGTGTGTGAGATGAGGATACAAAATTCTAAGGCAGGGAAAAGAAATGGGAAGAATAATAGCAAGAATACTTAACCCGGGATTTGGCAGCACGTTGTTCTGTAGAATAACCGACTTTATGGCTAGACATTACAGAAACAGCCTTTGATGGTTACTAGAACTGTGGACTGTAACAGCTTGACTGTGGTTTATTTAACATGTTTGTAAAGGATGCAATTTTATGCAGTCAAGTTTCGATTTCTTACCAAAATTATTTTAGACTGTTTCTATTTGCAGAGTTTTAGGTAAAGAAATGCACATCTAAGTATCTGCAACAGCATCCATACAGTTCTGCTTTGTACAGAACTATCCTGCCCATGAAATGATTGATATTTAGTGTTTAAACAGTGAATCTTTAGTAGTGGAGCTGGTTATGGTGAGTTAGTGGTGGAGGTATGACTGTTTAAATAGCAAATTTTTGGTAGCTGCGGAGGTGTGAATATACTGATTCAATATTATCATAGTAATATTATTATCTCAAACAAAGATGGGCCTTGTTTGCCAAGGCCCTGTGCCAGAAGTGCTAAATGTGGCTCCAAGCTGTGTTTTTTTAAAACCTCTGTTTCTTAGTAAATTCTGGTTTATGTTGCATATATTCGAACGTATAAAATATTCTGTATTGCACCTGACATGCCTTATGCATTAAGTGCTATCTGCACGTACAGACCAAATCTTCCAATGGATTAAATTAATTTAATAGATAGCTTAAGTCTTACCAAGATAGAGGCTAAGGTTGCCACTTCATGTGTAGTCAGCGTAATAGCTCAGTGGTGGCAGAGATGGCTCCGTGCGACCTCTGTTCCTCTCCTTCCTCTTGCTTGTGGCTGTATGGTCCACCCTTCCTTGTGCCAGGAATGAACACTTTCTGAACAGGTTGAACTCATTAAATGGCGTAAAATTGGTTGGTTTTTTGTTTTCCTGGGTTAGTTTTCTACCCCTTTAATAAGACAAGTCAGTTTGTGGAAGGATACGAGGAGGCGTTTTTGGTGGCAGTAAGTTGCTACAACAGATGATGGAGCCCCGTGGAAGTATGCTGTGCCTGGGCTTCTGGTGACCTGGGTACTCTGAAAAGTCATCACTTAGAACTGGGCTCTGCGTAAGGAAAGGGGTCCCTGAGTGTACAAGGGCTGTTAAAATGCGAGCATCTGGAATGTCCTATCAAATCTAGTGGTACTGCTTGCATGCTTACTCTAGGAGAGCCTAAATGCTTTGCTGAGCAGAGCTTGCTCAGGATGCTGCCTCTGCTCACTCCTCGCAGTGTTCCAGCTGAGACACAATAACTGCAGAGGCTCAGGTACAGCTGTATGGATTTTGGCCCATGTGAGCAATGAGGAAATGCACACAGACTCTATAAGAGGCTTATATCTCGTTGTTTCATCTTTACTAATACTGCTATATGTTCTAGCTGTTATTAGCTATCTTAACGCAGGCATCGATGTGCTGTTCTGTCTGCAGAGTGCTATAAGATGTGGTAGGTAAACAGATTTTAAAGACAGAGCTTAATCACGGTCATTGAAAAATCATTAGGGCATGTTCCTATGTCTTAGTGTGACTTGCAGTTGAAGAGCAACTTAAAGCCTCGTTCAAGACAAAATTTATATACTTGTTTTTGTTATCAAATCAGAAGATAGTCTTTAAACAGGTGTGAAGGAAGAGGGGAAAATATGTCTGATGTGTCAGTGAAATTTCAGCACTGCACAAAATGAAAAGTATTTAAAAACAGAAGCTCTCAGTATGTCCATTTGATCCAGTTCTGTGTTTAAAATGCAATCTGTCACAAATGTAGTTAGTATAGCTTATGTGAAAGTTGTGCTTTACTGAATGGCTTCTTTTTAATGATAATTAACTTGGGAACTTGAAGTATAGTTTAGTAGCTTGGATTTCCTGTGATGTTTCAAAACATATTGCTGCATCCTTATGCACTTCATAATATTTTCTCTGCTACAGGAAAAGTAATTCGGTTTTCTAGAAGTTATTCTGAATAGATCTCTTCTCCGGTATTATCACTAGGATTATTCATTGCATCGTTATTAAAAGAAACATTGATTTTTTTTTTTCTTTATTGATTGCAGGGTTCTAAGCAGAAAGTATTATGAATTGTAGATGACTTGTCCAGTACAATATACCACCCCATTCCATAAAACAAAGTATTGAACACTGTCTAGCTTTATAATGAGTGTTTTATTTTTAATCAAATCCCTCTAAATGGTGGTTGTACTCCTCTGGGGTATTTTTTCTACTGAGCAGTGTTTTGTAGACTTGGGAGCAACAGTTTTTTCTGCATGTTAATGTGAAGTATTGAAAGTACAATTGCAAAAACTGGAAAGGGAGCGTGTGCGACTTGACAAAACAAGCATTTGCAGAGGCTTTAATAACCTTAAAGCTGTCAGCTTGTGAATGTGAAATTCATTGTGGCACCATAAAGCAGATACTACAGAACAAATGTATGGGAATAAGGTTTGTTTCGACAAACAACAGTAGGAATTATAACTCAGCATTTCTGTGATTTCTAATGGATGGTTGCGACTTCATGTCCTCAAATTATAACAGAACGTCTCCAATGGAAATGGCTCAGGATGGAAACATTACATTAATTCTGTGAAAAAGAAACACCGACTCATAAGTGTAGCAAGTGATGACTTGCGTTTTATATTCGATATCTGTAAATGCAATTTGAAAAAAGGCATTTTGCTCAGCAGACACCTTATGGCTCATGTGAAGGAGGCACTCAAAGGTTTCTATTCCCCAGGACTGACAGTCCTCAGAAATGGTCCCATTCGTGGTTCCAGTTAACACCAAATTTCAGAACAAAGCATGTGTTTATATCTCATCACAACCTTACAGCTGCATTAAAGGCCAGCAAGTTCTTAAACTCTGTTCTGAACATGGATTCTTTATTAACTCTGGCTCCATAGAAGTATCTCATGACTTCTTGGTGCCACACCAAGCTCCTGCTAACTTGTTTATCTGGTGTGTTTAGAGATCAGGCTTCTGTGGCTGAAGTCTCTCTGTGACGAGACACCCAAAATTGAAACCTGTTCAAATCAATGCAACCCTGACTCCTGCTGCAGCTGTGTATATTAATCTAGATAAATTGGGGGATGTTCCCATTATTTGGCTTTTCTCTTACTTTGAGAAATCCTCAGTCTAACTCCCCAAGAGCTCTAAGTTGTAAAGCCTGAAGAGATACTTGATTTACCAGTATTTTCTGGTAAAACAAATAGAAAGCCTGCGTTCTGTCTTTCCATCTATAATCATTTGTATAAGCCTCTGCTCTTTGCTCTTATACAGCTTTTTTTCTGAAGTACTTCTATGTTTTTATGTTTAAACACTTTAAGCAGATGATCCCAACTGTTTCTGTCCATTTAACCAGGTTTGCAGTGGCTTTCACGATGAAAATGAAGGAACTGGCAGCAGCAGAGTGGGTACGTTCACACGGCGATGCTGATGCTTATCGCATTAGCAACTGTGCGTTCTCCTAAAATGTTTTCTAAATAATGCCAGACAGTTGTAATAATCTTGATATGCTCTATTCCTGTTTTTCCTTTCAGAGAAAGCATTTAATATTTATGTACTTCGACAGGTCAAATAGATCTGGTATTTAAAAGCTGTTTAGTATTTGAAGAGAGTATACAGCTGTTGAGCAAGTGCTTCCCTGTAGCGTTTAAAACTAATCATTGCTGCTGTTACCGAGGTGCTCCTGATGTCATATGAATACATTTTTTCCTTTTTGCATCATCTTATAACCTTTATGTTGCCAAAATTCCACTGAACAGCTTTGCTTACAGTAAGGGATTTTGAAGAATAGTTTGAAAATACTTGTTTAGTCAGCACTGGAAATAGAATAAACTTCTTAAGGTGAGCTGCAGAACTAAAATTGAAGTTTTGCTAAGCCTACAGTATATGATAAGCAGCCCTATTGACCAGGCCTAGAGGGATATGTAGCACACAAATAGCATTTAACTTTGTTGAAACTTATCTCTCCTTCTGAAAATAAAACTAAACACACTGTGCTGAGTGATATATGGAAAAATACGGAATAAAGTTGTTTTTGTCCAACAGTACAGTAGTTACTACATTTGACAGTGTATTTTATGGAGCGTATTTAGCCAGGAAAGAACTGGCAGTAATAGTGGTTGAGTCTCTTTATTTACCAAGTTCCATTGCATTTGCTGTGGTGCAAGTCTACTTCAGTTGAACGGTAAATGCAAGAAGTAGAAACTAAGTGCTTGCTACCTCTTCAGTTCTAATCTGCATCATATTATGGTCATTAATAGATGCCTAAAAAATTCACTTCAAGGTAGAGCTTGCTCAACAGAACAATTTAATATTCAATACTTTTTTCAGCATTAATTTATTTTTTAGCTATTTGAATTAAAAGGATCCATCAGCAGACTTAGGAGCTGGTACTTATGTTACAAATATAACTTGGTTTCAATAGTTACTGCAATGAATTTCGTGATGGGTAAACATGAAAGGGCACAGCTTCTGTCATAGATCCCATGCAAGAAAAGACACAAGTACCAGAGAATAAGGAGGAGAAGCAAACTTCATCTTTGAAGTCCTTTTGCAATCAGCACCTCGAATGTTAAGTGTTTAACTTTGATGTTACCTGAACACCTTTGTGCTGCGGGCCTGTGAGCTCACTCATGTGTTGGAGACTGCCTGTGGCAGACAGGGGAATGGAGACAAGGCTGTCAGGTCGTAAACTGAAATACTGACCTGCTCGCCTGTGTCTTAAATGCTGGGTTTTGAGGTTTTTCCAGCTGTATCTTCATATAAAGTGAGAGCAAATGCCACGCGTTTACTTTCAGACAGTGAATAGGAATGCATCTTTCCATACCGAGGTCACTGAATATTAACACTTTTTACGTATTAACTCCCGCTAATGTGAACTGCATTATTCCTCTAATGTGTGCTTTATACACTCAATTAAGAATTTAATTTATGAACACGTAAGCAATTGCACTGCACTCAAGGACTGTATCTTCTAACAAATTCTTTTCTATTACATTGGATAAATTATCTTCAATTATGAAGTGCATAACACAGCATTTGTAATAATTTGTATTCCAAGTGAGTTTGAAATACTGTATAAGATCTTATGCTTACGGTCAGGGTTTTATTTCAGTAGTGTAAAACTGGTACACTGGAATTACCTAAGCCAGTTTTATTAGCATTCCATTTCATTTTTCCATTCTCCTCAAGACCATTTAAAATAAAGAACATAACAGAAAATTGATCTATACACTGTGACTATATCTGTACACTCTGTTACACAGTACTCCTGCTATTTTCTTCCTGATGATCCAAGCCCTGGCAGGATTATGTTTACTCACCATAAGCCATTGAAGGTCCAGCAGAGCGTGAAACCAGATGCTTAAGTTAAGTTTATATTTGAAACATGGTGGTTTTAGGAAACTAAAAGCCTGTCTTCACCCACCAGAGTTTGAGGCGGAGCTGAGCACTATGTCAGCTGTGGAGACAAGGCTTTGGCTGCCCTCTGCCCGCTCTGCCTTTCCCACCTTGTTTTGCTGCAGCTACATCCCAGCACTCACTTTCAGCTCTCCTGTTTGTCCTGCGAGTCTGAATTCTGAAGTTGGCCTGCAGCTTGCAATGCTGTCTGCGCTGTTTGCAAGGTGTTTTTTAGCATTGGAAGATCCAATAGAGTTTAAAATGCTGCTTATTCATAGGTAAGAGAAGGACTAAGAAATTTTAAGTAATAAAATCATAGAATCATCAAATGTATTGGGTTGGACGGGATCTTTAAAGATCATCCAGTCCAACCCCCCTGCAGTGAGCAGGGCCTATTGAACCATTTTTTTCTTTTTTTTGAATGCCTTAAACACAGAAGCTCATATAGCTTTTGAAATTTGAAGTCCACAGAATATCCTTAGTCTTAGCGTAAACAGTGTTATTTTTCTCCCCACTTCATTTATGTGTGGATTTGCTGCTTGTTCTTGTCGTTTTTGTGACTTAGTTAATTCACTCCGATTCTCAGAAATTGCCTCTTTGCCATCTGTGAACCACTTGTTGATGCCTATTCACTTTTCTTATGACCTCTTTTCTGTCCATTTCTTTTTCCAGGTCATTTTAAATAACTAAAATAGATTGTTCTAACCGAGCAGTGGACTGGAGGGACAGTCCCATAGGATGGATAGAGGGGAAAAAAAAAGCTTGCTAGAAAAAGATACTGCTTCCTTGGCTTCTTACTTCCTGAGCTGACTGCTTCAGGAATTGGCTGCTTAATACTTTGTTTCTGCATTAATTCTTGTTCTCCTGGTACAAGTTACCTTCCTGCCTTCAAGTCGTTATCCTGCAGGTGTGGTTTCACAATGTGTAAGGATGGGAGAGGAGAAGGAAAGGCTCTGGCTGCGCTATTCCAGCAGCTTTCTGCAGGAAGAGGCAGGTCTGCATAGCAATATTTAGCTTAAAGAGTTCGGCAGTGTATCAGCCATTACATATATGTCTACATATATATCTCCATATATATGGCAGCAATTTTTGACAAGGTTAAAGGTAAGTGAGACTTGTTACATGCCTAATGTGCTTAAAACTACACTTATGGATAAATGTAGACTGTAGTTTCAAAACCAGCTCTAATTTTTCCTTAAAAACTAGAATTTTTTGGGAACTAGGGCTGTTCTGTACTTGAAAGTCTTTCTGTTCTAGAGAAATACTTTCATTTGCTATGCAACAAGCATAATAATAAGGGTAATGATTATGAGAAGGGATACAGAGGTAAACTAAAAAATATGTTTCTACTAACATGCTAATTGTATTAATTGCAAAATTGATTCATTGGTACTATAAATGTTCACAGTAACAGTGATTTACATTGCTGACTGTTGGGTTTTGGTGTTACTTAAATGTTTCTTTCTAGTGGTCCGGTATGATTTTTAATGATCAAAAGAAATCACTCTGATGTGCATTTTGTTATCCTACCAGGTTTTTTTAAGGTTGAGCAGGTCTTTTATGATGAACTATGAAAGTTACTTTTCTTCTCCTTCTCTTTACAGCCAGAAGCTACGAAGAAAATATATGTCCAGACTCAAGGTGAGAGTTTAGAAATGTTCAATTAATTTGAATCATGTGTTTAGTACCCGTATGTTTTATATCTGTCTTCTTTGCCCTGGAAATGTTTTGCTGAAGTGGTTATGGAGTTTGAAGTCCTTGCTTCACTGAAGTTGATTTTTTTCGCCATTGACTTTAATGGAGGCAGTATTTCAGTCTCAGCCTAAATTTTCAATTCATTTCATGCTTTTAAAAAAAGCTTTCCCAGATGCCTTACAGTGGGAATCTGAAAGATAGGGTAACACCGAGCTTTCTCCAAAGGACATGGGAGTTAGCTGCCTAGGAGCAGACTCTCGGTCTGATTTTGCACAAGATGCTGAATGCTGTTTTCTTAGGGCAAGACTTGAAGACCCACAGTCCAGCCATCCAAGGACCAGTCAGTCATGTTGTGTTTCTCTTTTTCTCAACGCAGGAATTCAGACTACACCCAGTGAAACGTTTGACTGGTATAGATTTCTACAGAACGCAGGTAAAACGTGCTTTTTTCCTCTGTTCATTGCATTTATTCTTAGTAGATGTCAGTGATGAAGGGAATTTAAAATGTTAAGGTTAACTGATTGTGTGATAAATGATATGAAAAATGAAAGACTGTAACGCTACACTGGTAGAGTATCACTCAGATTAGTCTGGTTAGTGAACTGTCCAGACTGCCTCCAGATCGCTGCTCTGTCCAGGGCTGGACTGCACCACGAGATAAAATGGTCATGACACGTGGGTCAGTGTCCCTTAGAAGGGAAGTCAGACCACAGTACCGATACCTGAGCACGCTGTGCTTTGCAGCTGTGGTGTGGCATGGAAAAAACCGTGGATGTCTTTTGCAGAAGAGCAGGCGAGGTGAAGAAGTGGTGAAGCAGGGAAATCTCTGTTAATATTGTATTATTTGGTGTTGATCTACAGCCTGTCTCTGTTTTCACCCAAGCAATGGCATGTAAGGCAGATGACCTCGTTTTTTAAGTTACCTGCTCTTGGCAATGCTTTAATTGGTACAGCTGCCTTTCCCCAAAAGAAGAATTTGTAGGCATTTTACTGTGGTAAAAATATTTCAGTGTTACATTCATCAATCTGATCTCTGATAGTGCAGCTGTTCCCTCTGTTACAAATGAATCCTCACCAGTCAATTGCTTTATCGCATCAGTAAATGCGTGCCATTATTCAGAACTGGTGTCCCATTTGAAACGGAGCATTGTGAGGTTATTTTGTTCTCTGTAAATCATGGCGCACAAGCACAGCACCACCAAGATTAATAATTTTCTGAAGTGAAATGATTTGTCACTTGCTAGCACAGCCTCAGTGTTGATTGGATCTCGTGTCCAACCGTTTTATGATTAAAAGAGCAGTCCACAGATTGAGGAGGAGGAAGCTCCCCCTAAAGTGCATTTTATCTAATACAGTAGAGACAGTTTTTTGCCTAATGTGTACTAATGCGAAAGTGCAAAATAATTCATAATGTACACGAAGAGCAAACTAAAATGTGACTCTAACATCTGTGCCTGTTAAATAACAACTTGAAAACTGGCATCAGATTATTCAGTATTATTTTTTATGACTGTTTCATCTCTTTTATCTTATCAGTCTTGTCCCTGTCCCTCTCTGGAGGGAAGCTACAATTTCCACTTATTTTAATACCGCACACGGAGGCAGGCTTTTTGGCTGTGCCTTTGTGCTTGCCACAGACTAATTAGGAGTTCCCACTGAATTGCTTTTCTGGGGACCTGCAGTTTCAAAGAGTTTAAACTTCTACTAAACTTGGAGCAATCAATAAAAAATATGAAAAACAGAAGGCAGTTTTGCTCAAAAGAATATGATTTTGATAGCGTGGACTTGCACAATGAGCTGCACTTGAGAAGATCCGTGGCTTTTACGCAGATGAAGTTGTTCAGTCTTGTTCACCTCATGGCATCTATGGTTTTTTTTAAAGACTTTTTGAATGAAGCCCTGTTCTGTATCTAAAGGCATTTAATGATTTCTGTGGGAAATATGTCTCCAGATAACTCTTCCCTGTATCTTTAGCAGTAACCTTGAACATCTGTCAAATTCGGGATTCCCAGGACTGAATGTAAAGGAGCAGCACATGCTCCGCAATGCAAATTATAATGCATTTGAGGCATTGGTGTTAAACATCCTTGGTGATCAGGCCATACATTGTCAAGTTGTTCCTTAAAATGAAAGAGGCTCTTCAGAATATTTCAATAATGTTTTTTCCTAGAACAGATTTCTTATGAATATTCTTTGTACTGGTATTTTTTCAGTCATAGAAAAGCCTGAACGTTTGTCTCGGGTGAAATCTAACAGCAGTACATAAACAGTCTTTTTAAATCAGTGTAATGGCTTCAGAAAGGACTGAAGGTCGATTTGAGGGGCAGAATGCATCAAATACATTTTCCTGTGGGAGACTTCTCCCCCAGCCCCCAAATGTGAATGGTGCTGAAACAAAAGCTAAGGAATCCCAGCTTTTTGAACATTTCATTTGATAGTTTGGGTCGCTAACATAAATAGCAGTTGCTAATACAAACTGAAGAAGTGCTGTGAAGGGGTTTTTATTGTTGTTATTACAGTGCAATGCAATCTCAGTACAAAAATAATGGGATTAGTGTTTTTGTCATCGTCTCAGCAGCAGACTGGAGAGTTGCAGAGGTGATGTTTGTGTAGTGTTAGATAGCGCCTAGCAGCAGTGTTATCTGTGACTGGCCGTTCTATTTATTTATTGGCTAAATCTACCAAAAAAAAGAAAGCTTTTAAAGTTAATTTGCATTCTGGTTACAGTCAGCCTCACAGAGTTTTGTCTTCTGTGGATGAGAGTCTGAAAGCAACAGCAGTCATACTAAAAAGCTGAACCAAGTGCAGATTTCAACACAGACTGCAGGAGGACAATGTTTTCAGTATATTTAGTAACTCAGACTATTTAGGGAAGTATTACAGTATTACTGGAGGTCAGACCAGATGATCAAAATGCTTTTTTCTGCCCTTATAACACAGGGATCTATATACAGCATAATCAATTTTGTTAGCAATTTGAGGTGCCTATCTTTAGACTTGAGAGAGACCATGAAAGTTCAGGCTTTTGCTGTGAACTGGCTGACAGAAAATGCCAAAGTCTCAGTAAATGTGGAAGCTGGGACTGATCTCCAACAATGTAGCTCAAGGATGGAGCGCAGCTGCTTAAGATCACAGACGGGCTCGGTGTCATCGTACCCTGATGAAAAGCGCCTTTTGATTGCAGTGGAATGGGGCTGAAGCTGGTCAGATGTAAACCCTAAAACGCTCAGACATCATGTGATAAGATGATGCAGATCACCAGAAAGCCTGTACTAACAAACTGAGAGTGCTTGTTTATCCCACAGATAAGACTGAGAACTGGTTTCCTGGAAGATGACTTAGAATCATAGGATCAGATTCTTATTGCACTCTCAGATAAAATGTGCATTGTACTTTTGTAGTTCGAGTTTTCGACTTTCACATGATTTCTGCTTCATAGCATGGCTATGCTGAAAGCTTGAAAAGTTTACAGAGCCTGTTATGACACAGGGTTTTACAGAGGCATGATATTGTCCTAAAGCTGTGCTGGAAAAATAGACCCGCATGAGAAGAATTAAATAGTAAAAGTTTGTGCAGATACAGAGCTGACCATAGAAATAATTCTATCATGGCAATAGTAAACTGTGTTTCCCAACAGATCTGAAAGCACAGAGCTTTTTTGTTGTCTGATCTGTTAGAAATAATGAGAAATGGGGAAGAAGGATTGCTGGAGAATTTGGCAGCCTGATTTATCTGGATTAGTAGCCTGCCCCTGGACATTTACAGGTTCATTTAACTTCTGTTGTCCCCACAAACATATCAGCAATTCCAGCAATTACTCACTATTGAATGTGAATAGCAGTATAAACACTTTGGATATAGTTATTACCTCCACGTCTCCTTAATTTCTAAGAAACAAATTGCTTTGTGAAATAAAAGCTCAACTTCATAAAACATTAATAAATGTTTGAGACCTGCAGGTGCTAAAGTCTGTTGCTGAAATAAGACCTAAATGGGCTAATAATTGTGAAAGCACTGAAGATTTTTATAGAGGCCAAAGTGTAAACTGTCATAGTGTGTCATAATAGTAAAATAGTTGACATTTATCAGTGTTTTATGAAGTTGTACAGTTATATAGTTTCAGATGAGGAACAAACTAGGACTCAATGAAATCCTAAATAATAAACTGCTTATTTCCAGTATTGCATTCTGTAAATGTTTCCCACTTTTAATATACTCCATCCTCTCATTCCGTCTTGCAACTGAAGACCTCAGAACAGTTTACCAAAAGTTCAACTCGGTGCCGTTACTTCATGTCAAGCAATTCTTAAACCTGCTTGCAGATGAACGGGTGGGTCTGGATGGATGAGTCTGGATTTGACAAACTTTCTCGAGGCCGTGCCATGACTCAGACTCAGGGCAGCAGGAGAACATGAATCACGAGCATTAATCGCACTTCATCTGTTAGCCAGTATATTTTGTGCCAGGTTCCAATGCTATCACCAAATTCGCTGGCACAGCAGTTGGATGCCCTCTTGGTCATGCAATTCCACTCTGAAATTTCGAAGTGCCGATGCTACGTTGCTGTGTTTCGATTTTGAGCAGCGTAACACCACCTCTGCTCCATCATGACAAAGGAGCCGCTTGACTGCGGGAGCTCCGTGTCGGTCTTAATCTTCCGCTGTGTCTGCCTCATTCCAGCTCACCTGCAGTTCATTTGTTACCATCCCCGCGGCCCTGCGTGGCGGATCAGGACAGCACGCTGTCAGGCTGATGAGAGGAATGGGTTTTCATCATCCTATCCATCACCGTTCTTGTTTTGACCTTTCACATCTCGCTAAAGAGGTGACCCGCTACGCAGGCTCAGGGCTGGCTGCGGCCAACGTGCAGCTGTTTTCCATAGATAAAGCCAATGTAACAAATCAGACTAGAGCCACAGACGAATACTGACAACACATCTTTAAAGGAGCATCTCTCACTGGCATTAAACAATTACTTTTGACACTGAGGGAGACATTGATTACAGTGGAAAGACTTGACTTGCGTTTAGCGTACAGTGATTCTGAAGGATGGCTGGGTACCATGCGGTCTTTTTTATTGCCAGTGGTTATGCACACATTTTTCCATTTTCTATTTTCTTTGCAAAGCAAACAGGAGGGAGCCTGAGCTGGGAGATAATGGAGCACAGTGTGCTCTTTCAAGTCTTTGCTTTTGTAGGGCTAACAGAAATGGAGAGAAACATTTATATTTGGGTCATTCAAAGGTGATAGCAACACAGTGAATGGCTCAAAAGAGCAAATCAGTTGATTGTGCCATACTGATGGATTTGCGTTTCAGAATGACACAAGGCAGTAATACCTTATTACAGACTGAGTAGTCTATCTAGGCAGAATGATGGCAAAAATTCACATACTGAAAGTCTTGTTTAAGTTGAAGGAAAAAGAAAAATACCTTCTTTCAAATACCAGTTATCACCCAGCTGATGGCTGTAGCTGGTAATGGCAACTAGTGCCATTATTTTCTTAATGTGTTCCCCTTTTCAGTGCTCTAATGAGGACAAAGCATAGTAAAATGTTTGCTTTCTTTTACAAATAGCTACCTTTTTTTTTCACAGCAGGGGTGCTAGCAAGGCTTGAGGAAGCAACAGGTGGGAAAACACTGATGCATCATCTTGATGTGTGAATTTAACCATTTTCGGTGAATGAGCAGGAAGCCGAGGTGCTACAAGTGCTGCTGATCTTCAGTAGACAGAGAAGGAGTGAACTGGGGGCGCTGACGAGTGGCAGTGATGTGCTGGCAATGCAGTCTCCTCAGGAATGTCTTTATGTGCTTCCCAGTGGATTGAGGGGGGAAAGTCTGCCTGTAAAAATTAATTAGGTGATGGCTAAGTTCTACAGAATACAATAAAATAAAACTGCACCTGATTCTCACTTCACTAAATTGAACGGCAGAGGCACATCCTTTTTGGACTAGCCCTTCTATGGCAGGATTGAGAAATGCCGTGTAGGATCCAGTCTGTAGTCCAGTGTACCAAAGATCTGATATTTCAGAGAAAAGAGCATAAAATTTCATTAAAGACAAGTAGGGCTTTGTAAAGTTGCATGAAGGGGACAGTCTGCAGTGAGAGTTCAAGGCTGTGAATGTCTTTCCAGGATAGTAAAGGTCAAATAAAGGGGCTGCTTTCATTGATAAATGTTATTTTAGGTAATTTCGCTAGGGAAATAATTAGGCTGCTATTGATGAGATTCTTGGGAAAAGTACCTTTAAGTGCCACAGGAGCTGAATGGCAAAATCCAAACTGCAAAGCACAATTCCTGTCTGTGGGGCCAGCTTCCTGTTTCGGGTTAAGGTTTTAAGGAACAGCAGCCAGGCCTGCACAGAATTGGTTTATTCGGACTTTTCATTGTCTGAGTGCTTTAAACACGTATCTAATAAAATGAAAAGACTAAAGCTATAAGATAGAAACAAGAAGGTATTAAAGAGACAAAAAGAAGCAGTTATTTCAAGTGTAGTTGATGTTGATTAGGGTACCATCACGTCAAGAGTGCAATACTTCTACAGACCTGGTTTCTCACTGCTGTCTCACTGAGCTTTCGTCACTAACTTTAAAACTTGCTCCAAAGCAGGCAGAGCTGAACAGTGATAGGTGGGAGTTCATAATTTAAAACGAATATTTGTGCCATCTGGATAGTTAAAATGCAATCTGAATTTTGCTGACGCTTGCTAGTAATGTGTTTTGTGTGAGTTTATGCCATGAATTGAAACCACTGCTGCATGCCTTAAAAACAAACAGTATTAATGGCCCATTGCACCAGAAGAATGGCTTTTTCAATCCAAATGTTTGTGTATTATAAATTACAAATTATTTCTTGGTCCAGTAACCAGTAAAATATTACTTACAATGTCTGCTGCAGCCCCTCCTGACAACTCAAGCTGTTTTAAGTTAAATGGAACAGACTCAGTAATGAACCCTGTGACAGGGAGCATTTGAAAGTCCCTGAGCTGGATTTCCATTCTAAAAGCAGCAGCACTTGAGTACGTCGTGAATCAGCACTCATTTGATTCTCTCCTTCCATGAAAGAAGTTTGATGCAGTCCTCACGTTAATCCAGTTCCTTGATGTGAGGGGAGATGTTCCTGGTGTATTTCTTCCAGGGCCTGGAGCAAACCCTGCAGTTAAGCTCATAGAATCATAGACTCATAGCATACCAGGTTGGAAGGGACCACAAGGATCATCCAGTCCAACCTCTCCAGGTAAAAGCATCGTTTAACTGAGATGAGGCAGCACCCTGTCAAGCTGACTCTTCAAACTGACCAGTGCAGGGGAATTCACCACTTCCCCTGGAGATCATTCCAAGTTATACAGCACTGTGGTACAAGCTGGTACCAAGTGTGAGTGCTCTTAAATTACAAATTGCAGCAATTCAGTGATGCTGCACAAGCAGCTGAGCTGCTCCTGCAGCTGATAGAGAGTGGAAGGGCAAGGGAGAAGGAGGCCTCAGAGAAGGAAGCTCAGCAGCAGCAGATCACTGTACCACCACAACTGTCCTGCTCCCTTCCTCTGGTAATCCTAAACCCCACAGTCAGTGACTGACCATGCGTCCTAGCCCTCCTGGTAGCTGTGTGACACAGCCACGGCGTGGGACCTGTGTCCTGATGTCCCACACGCAGTGCTGAAGAGCAGCAGTTGGGTG